GGGCTTCCCCCCCCCCAACCCCCCCCTCCCCCCATACAAAGGTACAGAAGACTTGGACTTACTTAGCCTTTGAGGTCTTACCTGTTGGGGCAGGAAGCCAACCTGTCACAAAATGGTGCCAGTAAAAAAGCATCAGTTTTTGTTGCCCGCTCCACAACCGCTTCCCCTCAGGGTGGGAAGCACTGGCCACTAGGGTTGAGGCTATTTCTCTTTTCCTCTTTGTACCCCCCTCTCTTAGCACCCTGTAGGTTACCAGATAAGCATTTGGTTAATGACTCTTTTCATCGGATACCAGGAGTAGTTCAGCGTGTATTCGGCCACACTGATGGCACGTTATCTGTGTGTGGCCCGCATATCCCTAGCACACGCCTGGATGGCCCACGGGCTCGGAAGCCTTGGCCCGGGGCCGTTAGAGCGTTCGCTGGCACTGGAGTCAGGGCTGGGGCGCTGCTGTCTTGGTGGCCTGCAGCGCCCCTGCTGGTGGCAGCTGGACCCGTGCGTCCCTGCGCATTTCAATTTACAGCCAGAAATCCAAGACAAACACGATGCGATATTCCTCGTCCCGCTTTATAAAAGTGTGGTGATGGTGGTAGATGCATTTTAAAGGATCATGGAATAAAAAAAAAAAAATCCTTCCCTCTTTACTCGGGCCCTTGTGTTTCGATTCAAGCTGAAATAATTAATGGAGAGTGTTTGTAAGGATTCGTTGCCTTCACTCTCGCCTGGTGCAGCGGGCTGCAGCGGGGCGTCTAGCATGCGGACCACGTCGCGCTGCTGCAAAGAAAATGTACGTACGTGATGCCGCGTCGGCCGCCCCAGCGTCCCACCACAAACCAGACTTTCTCCAAGTTTCGCCCTTGCTGATAAGCAGTGGCCACCACAGGCTTTTTCCCGTGTGGTCTGATGGTAGGTTCCACAGAACTTGTCGTTCCCTAGATGTGGTGTGCCGTTGGTGGTTACCGGTATTTAGGGATTTCAGGAGGTACCGAACAACCGTGGATAATTGTTGTGGAAATGAGGATTTGCATTATTTTGGAACCCATGTGGTGCGCAGACTGGAGCTGGTATTACAGCGGAATCCTCAGCACGAGTACTTTTGAGCATTAGCCACACTCCTGAGCCCTGGGATTCTGAGCGCGGGATACCCCTGAACCCGAGGAACCCCTTGATCCCCGGGATTCTGAGATGAGGCATCCTGAGTCCAGACACTTCCTGAGCACGAGGAACCGCTGAGTCTCGGGATTCTGAGCACCGGTCACCCCTGAGCACGGGGACTCCTGGAGCACTAAGACCCAATCCCTGATATTTGAGTGCCGAGTACTCCTGGGAGCGGGTATGCTGAGCCTGGGGCACCAGTGAGCTCTCATTTCCTGAGTCTGGGGTACCATGAGTCTGGTGAACCCGAGTATGGGACAACCCTGAGCCGATTACCCTAAATTGGCACACCCCGGAATCGGTCCACTCCTTAGGTCTAGGGGCATTTTCTCTGGGCAAGGCAGCCTAAGGATGGTCTAAGCGGCAGGGTGGGGGTGAATGGGTTCTGTTGGGACATGTCCAAGGGTTTCAGGACTCTGCCATTTTTTCCCAGAGTCCTAGCTTGCCAAAGGAATGTATTTGCCGCAGACCCTGCTGTTCAGGGCTGGGGGCTGGGGCTTGCAGTGAGGACCCCGCCTTGAAGGAGCTGGTGGGCGGGGTCCGGACCTGGCGGGCAGTGGGCGGGCCCGGGGCGGGGCGCGGGTGGGCTCTAAAAGCCAGTGCCCACTCGCTCGGCAGCTGCCGCGGCAACGAACACATCACGGCACAGCAACGCTGGTGGCGGCCAGGCGCCTCCTCTGCGGCAGCCGCGCCTCGCGCAGTGC